GGTTCTGAGTCCTCTGGGGGGCTGTCAAGCAGGTGGAACATGACCCCTACGTTTTCCACACGAACACACCCAGAGCCTTTACTTCCGGCCCTCGGCTGGTTGCGATCACATGACGCCCTGCTGTCATAGCTAGGCGCGATCATGTGACCGTGATGTCTTCCGCTGTCCACTAAGAAGGAAGCGTGTGTGTAGGTGAGTGTTCGGGCATGGTACAGGAGTAGTGCACAGAGCTCCGATCACCGCGGCCTGACACGTGACATGTCATTAGGACCTGACAACTCGGGACTCCGACTTTTCTAGGATGGGATGTGTACACAGGCGGTGTAGGATTGTCCTCTGTCCGTTAAAACAGTTACCCTTTTCCCTCAGTTTGCCTACCACATATTTAATGAGCTGTAGGGTTTATGCACAAATCCTCTTCTGTGCCCAACTCCAGGATAAATATAACCCCCTCCCATCCCCCTCTGTCTGATCGTCAGGAAAAAAAAAAACATTTTGCAGAACTAAGTGCGGTCACTAAGTCACACCGGTACGATTTGCAAATTGAATTCGCACCTAATGAATGTGAATGTCGGTGTCTTAATGTGCAATTTGCTGCAGTGTGATTTATAAAGTAGTTCTTGCATTCCTTTTACTCATTTTGTAGTCATTTCACATACATAGGATATAATAGAAATCGCACTGCCAACTGTAAGAAATCCTTGTAAATCTTCACAAGTAGCAAGAAAGTCTTCAGAAATCACACCGAAATTGCACACAAATTGCGTGTTTTTAAATCGCAACAGTGTGACCAGTGACTAAACCCTTCAGTCCTTTAGAGCAGTGGTCTCCAAACGGCGGCCCATGGGCTGGATGCAGCCCTTTACTTGCCTTATACCCTTGGGGCACTAATTCTTCCACTGACACATATATTGGGATATAAATTCTCCCACTGACACCAGTGATGGGACACTGTTCCTCCCACTGACACCAGTGATGGGACACTGTTCCTCCCACTGAAACCAGTGATGGGACACTGTTCCTCCCACTGAAACCAGTGATAGGGCTCTTTCCCTCCCACTGACACCAGTGATAGGGCTCTTTTCCTCCCACTGACACCAGTGATGGGACGCTGTTCCTCCCACTGACACCAGTGATGGGACGCTGTTCCGCCCACTGACACCAGTGATGGGACGCTGTTCCGCCCACTGACACCAGTGATGGGACGCTGTTCCGCCCACTGACACCAGTGATGGGACGCTGTTCCGCCCACTGACACCAGTGATGGGACGCTGTTCCGCCCACTGACACCAGTGATGGGACGCTGTTCCGCCCACTGACACCAGTGATGGGACGCTGTTCCGCCCACTGACACCAGTGATGGGACGCTGTTCCGCCCACTGACACCAGTGATGGGACGCTGTTCCGCCCACTGACACCAGTGATGGGACGCTGTTCCGCCCACTGACACCAGTGATGGGACGCTGTTCCGCCCACTGACACCAGTGATGGGACGCTGTTCCGCCCACTGACACCAGTGATGGCACGCTGTTCCTCCCACTGACACCAGTGATGGCACGCTGTTCCTCCCACTGACACCAGTGATGGCACGCTGTTCCTCCCACTGACACCAGTGATGGCACGCTGTTCCTCCCACTGACACCAGTGATGGCACGCTGTTCCTCCCACTGACACCAGTGATGGCACGCTGTTCCTCCCACTGACACCAGTGATGGCACGCTGTTCCTCCCACTGACACCAGTGATGGCACGCTGTTCCTCCCACTGACACCAGTGATGGCACGCTGTTCCTCCCACTGACACCAGTGATGGCACACTGTTCCTCCCACTGACACCAGTGATGGCACACTGTTCCTCCCACTGACACCAGTGATGGCACACTGTTCCTCCCACTGACACCAGTGATGGCACACTGTTCCTCCCACTGACACCAGTGATAGGGCTCTTTTCCTCCCACTGACACCAGTGACAGGGCACTGTTCCTCCCACTGACACGGCACTATTCCTCCCACTGACAGCGGTGGCGGGGCACCGTTCCTCCCACTGACAGCGGTGGCGGGGCACCGTTCCTCCCACTGACAGCGGTGGCGGGGCACCGTTCCTCCCACTGACAGCGGTGGCGGGGCACCGTTCCTCCCACTGACAGCGGTGGCGGGGCACCGTTCCTCCCACTGCAGCGGTGGCGGGGCACCGTTCCTCCCACTGACAGCGGTGGTGGGGCACCGTTCCACTATTTCTCCATCTATACCATTGATGGGGGAATATTCTTCCTCCCGCCAACACTAGGGTATTTTCTACTCACACTTACTACAGTGTAGCACCGTAGCCGTAAAGTCTGAAGGACAGTAAACTGGCCTTTTATTTAGAAAGTTTTGAGACCCGTGTTTTAGAGCCAAGGAAGCTGTCACCTCAGCCTCTGTTTGATCAGCAAGTGTCATGGTGCTGTACATGTGATCAGTTATGATAGCAGCCTTTGATTTCGAAAATTGGCTGGTTTTCACAAATTTTCCAGCATGACCGATAAACGAAATGAGGAGGAACCGTGAAAATCAGCTGATGCCATTGCCCCGCTAACAGTGTGAAAATCGGCTGATTATTCTTTCGGACGAAAAATCGGCCGATAAATGAACCGTCAATGGCCTGCATTAGTTATCATTCATGGTAGGCCTGGAATGTAACTGTTTTGGGAAACTGTTACAAAGGAACTAAATCCATCAATGCAACAGTTCCCCCAAACAGTTACATCTAAGACATGTCATGAAGGATAACTGTCAGAATTGCTCTCAACTGAACTGTCAAACCATCAAATAGCTGGTGTCAGAGCTTAGCACCATGCCTGTTGCAGATCAAACATGGGCTAAGATGGCAGCTTCCTTGGCTGTAAAGGAGAGGATGGGTTTAGTTCCAATATAAATTGCTGGGTCTAGTTCTGCTCTAAGCCACAGTCACATGATAAAGCAGCTCAGGGTCTTTCTCTTCACTGTTTACTTCCTGGTGGAAATTTCTATCAGTGCTCCAACTGTGCCACAGTGCCTACAGCTTCTAAGATCAGTTACAGTGTAAAACTTGAATGTCTATAGCCTAGCCACACAAGTAAAGTTCTGCTGTTATTCATTGTAAACAGGCAGACTATTTTTTGAGGAAGTGACATGCAGTGTCTTTTTTGCAATCAAACCCATTTACCTGCCTGCTCACAGCGATCCCCAGCATGTAAACTGAGCTGCACATGTGCAGCTCAGCTTAGTGTCAGGCCTGATGACTGTGCCGGGATGACTGTGTGCCGACAATCCCTGTGTGCCGGGATGACTGTGTGCCAACAATCCCTGTGTGCCGGGATGACTGTGTGATTAGACATCATCTGATCTGCTGTTGCAATGGCGCTGGACATTGATCAGTTATGACACCAGCCATTTGATGGCTTGACAGGTTGGTTGAGAGTAGAAACAGCTGTGGCAGTTATCATGAACAGCATGCCTTGAATATAACTGTTTTGGGAAAACATTAAATTGATGGGTTTAGCTCCTTTTAAATTATATTAATTGTGCAGATTTACCTATGAAAGATTTTATTTACGAACATATATACATGTACTACAGACACATTCTCAAGTGGACAGAAAATGGCAATTGGTTATGACTGTTGTGTTATATTATGTCTATAGGCCCTATTAACTCTGTGTAAAAACAAATCAGATAGGAGCACAGCTTTTTTGGCTATGAAGATAATGTTTTTGAGTTTCTGGGTGAGAGAGTGAATGGGAAATTCAGATGAGTGCTTTAATGTTTGTTATTGAGAACACCCATCACAGTGGTGGCCTTATAGCAAGGGTTTCCAATCTTTCTAAACAAAGGGCTTTTTTTAATGTCCTTTAGACTTTGGAGGTGACAGACTATGGCTAGTGGGAGCAGAAAATGCTTCGGTATTACTAATGCCACATCATTGGTATCAGTGGGAGAAATAGTTCCCCATTGTTGATATCAGTGGGAGCAATAGTGCCCCGTTGTTTGTGTCCGTGGGAGGAAGTGTGCCCTATCATTGGTGCCAGTTAGAGGAAGTGTTCCCAACATTGGTACCAATGGGAGGAAGTGTGCCCTATCATTGGTGTCAGTGGGAAGACTAGTACCCCATCATTGGTGTCAGTGGGAGGAATAGTGCCGTGTCAGTGGGAGGAAGAGGGCCCCGTCATTGGTGCCAGTGGGAGGAATAGGGCCCCGCCATTGGTGCCAGTGGGAGTAATAGGGCCCCGCCATTGGTGCCAGTGGGAGTAATAGGGCCCCGCCATTGGTGCCAGTGGGAGAACTAGTACCCCATCATTGGTGTCAATGGGAGGAATAGTGCCGTGTCAGTGGGAGTAGTAGGGCCCCGCCATTGGTGCCAGTGGGAGGAATAGAGCCCCGCCATTGGTGCCAGTGGGAGGAATAGGGCCCCGCCATTGGTGCTAGTGGGAGGAAAAGGGCCCCGCAATTGGTGCCAGTGGGAGGAATAGGGGCTCGCCATTGGTGTCAGTGGGAGGATTAATGCCCGTCATTGGTGTGAGTGGGAGGAATAGGGCCTCGTCATTGGTGTCAGAGGGAAGAGTAGTGCCAATCATTGGTGCCTGTTGGAAGAAATGTGCCCCATCATTGGTGTCAGTGAGAGGAATAGTGCCAATCATTGGTGTCAGAGGGAGGAATAGTGCCTTGTCAGTGGGAGGAATAGTGCCCCATCATTGGTGTCAGTGGGAGGAATACTGCCCCATCATTGGTGTCAGTGGGAGGAAGAGCCCCCCATCATTGGTGTCAGTGGGAGGAATAGCGCCTTGTCAGTGGGAAGAAGAGTGCTCTGTTGATGTCAATGTAAGGTATAATAACTAGTATCCGTGGGAAAAAACGGCGCCCCCAGTTTGGATACCACTGACTTATAGAAATGCACATGGCAGTAAAAATGATGTACCAGTAAAATGATGAAATAACTTGAAAATGTTTTGCTTTTATTTCACAATTGAAGGCTCCACTGTAAACTATGGAAGAGGCATCCACCTCTCATCCAGAGGCAGCACCAGGTGTGCAGATTACCATTCAGTGCCGAGCTCACATGGATAGCGTGCTCTCCTGCTTAGCAGAACAGAGGAAAAAGAACTTCCTATGTGACATAACAGTGATAGTGGAAGGTGTGCAGTTTCGAGCACACAAGGCTTTACTGGCAGCTAGCAGCGAATATTTCTCCATCATGTTTGCTGATGAAGGAGATGTTGGACAGTCTGTTTATGTCATGGAAGGAGTGGTTGCTGAGATCTTTGAAATGTTGCTTCAATTTATCTACACTGGAAATGTGAATGCAAGTGAAAAGTGCCTACAGCAAGTAGTGGCCTCTGCCCATGTATTAAAAGTCGACAGTCTGGTAAAAGCCTATACTGATTATCAGGAAGGCAAAAACCAAGACAACCTGCATCCTGATGAGTCTGACAACGCCATAGCAGAGAGCGATATACCAAAGCGGAAACGAGGAAGACCTAAGAAACCACCTGCAGAAGGGAAAACCAATGAAGATGGTAATCTTGTTGTACAACCTGAGACAGAAGGAGATATCACAGAAAACGGCAATGAAAAGAGTGTTCTTGTTGAATCTGTGTTAAACGAAGAAGAAGTCGTTACTGATTATGCAGCAGAGGTTACATGTGACCTGAACCCCAGGATCGTGGAAGGACAAGGCTTTTTCAAGAGACATAGTAAACGCAAAGCCCAGAGGCCTGTTAAGCTGCAAGACTACAGACTTACAGAGGAAAATGATGAGCATGAAGCAGGAAAGCAGAACATAAAGAAGAAGAAACAGTCCAGCTCTGAATATCAATGTAAAGATTGTGGCAAAGTGTTTAAATACAGGCACTTCTTAGCAATTCATCGCAGAACACATACAGGTACAAAATAAACACGTAAAGATAAAATTTTATATTGGTCAATTTATTTGGCTTATAAAGTGTTAACAAATATATCAACTGTTACCTTTATAATTGCTTTTTTCTGCACATAGAAAAAGTAACACAGGGTGTTTCATTACTTTTTTTTTCTTGCAGAGCTTGCTGGCCTTCCGAATAAGAAAGTCCAGTACTTGCTGCTCACTTGTAAACTGTCTTTCACTAATTAATACACATACACATTTGTTTGAAGTAGGGACAGGGACAAGGTGTGTCCCTCCTCTTGTCTATTTCTTGTATAAGATCTTTATTCTGCACATAAAAATGTATTACAGGGTGCTTCAATTCTAATTTGTTTGCAGAACATGCTGGACTTTCTAATAAGGAAGCCCAGCACTAGCTACTCACTTGTAAAGAATCTCTCCCTAATTAATGCCCCATACACATTCATTTCAACATGAGTACCTCCTCTGTTTCTGTCATTTAACTGTGTATTATTCTCAGTCTTGTAGTAAAATGATTTAGCAGAACTATAAGAAGTAAGAGATTAGAACCTCTGACTATTTTTTTTTGTTACTGCTGTCTGTCCCTTCCTGCTTCTCGTAGAACTGCTCTTCTTTTTTCTTGTATGGGCATTGCAGGGACAGAAAGTGAAGAAACATTTCCCCAAGGGGTCACAGAAAAAAATAAACTTTTTCTAAATCATTTTAAAACGTTTTTAAAAAATTTACCTCTCCCACACTCTATCCAAAACCCCCAAAAAATGTTAGTGATTTTAACTAAGACAATATGGTTACAGCATCACCAAAATCAAAGTAGAACTAAAGGCAAAACTGTGTTTTTTTTTGTTTTTTTTTTTTTTTTTTTTTTTCCATTTTGGATAGAGTAAAGGAAGGTTATAATCACTTTCAGTTTTTTTGCCATTTGTGTCTCATTGGGGAGATTTCCCTTTACTTCCTGTTCTATAGCCAAACAGGAAGTGAGAGGATATCCCTCCAAAAAAATAGGGAATTCTTGGGTGTCAGCAGAATCTTATTGTAGGAAGATTTCCCCTCTATTACTTTTCTGGGGACAACCCAAAATTTGAGATTTTCTTTTACTTTTGATGATAATGGTAAACAGGACAAATAGGGTGAATTCTACTAATGGGGGCACAGACCGCAATAAAAACGGACAAAAACGTGTTCTAATCCCTCCCCACTCTATCCAAAATTTAAAAAAAAAATGTTTTGCCTTTTGATTGTTCTTTGCAGTGTTCAGTTTTCTGTTTTTCTGTTGAGAGGCTTTTCCATGTTCATGTACCCACTAGACTGATTCCCTTGGTCCTAAGGCCCAAAGGGGATGACACAGTCCGTTGAGATTACCTGCTTTTTTCTTTATTTTTCTTTATTGCAATCCAAGCCCATACTTTTATATAATAAATGATTCTTTGTTTTGTGCAAAGACTAAAGCTACCTATAAACTCTACAATCTGATTGTAAAACCTCCTTTAGATCTGCCATCAACTACGTAGTACAAGGACCTGCCTGATTTGATACAAATAGAATGAATTGTTTAGATGTATCCTTATAGTTTTGGTCAATCTAATTGTGCAAAGATTGTGCAATCTGTATAATGTATACGCTTCCGCCTGGCAGCATTAAGGTCGTTGGTTCAAATCCCAACCACGGCACCTCCTGCCTGGAGCTTGCATGTTCTCCCTGTGCCTGTGTGGGTTTCCTCTGGTACTCTGGTTTCCTCCCACACTCCAAAGACATGCTGGTAGGTTAATTGGATCCTGTTTAAATTGTCCCTAGTATGTGTATGTATGAATGTGAGTTAGGGGCCTTTGATTGTGCGCTCCTTGAAGGTTAGGGGCCGATATGAATGTACAATATATGTATGTGTAAAAGTGCTGTGTAAATTGACGGAGCTGTATAAGTACTTAATAAATAAATAATATAACACATAATAAATAAATGTAGGTCCATCCTAATTCCTGATGTTTCTCATTTCAGGTGAGCGCCCTTTTAGGTGTGCTGAGTGTGGAAAGGGATTTTCTCAGAAACACTCGTTACAGGCCCATGAACGCGCACACACTGGGGAGAGACCCTATAACTGTACTGTGTGCAATAAATCTCTAGCAACAAGGAACTCACTGATGGAGCACATGAATTTACATGAAGGTATATATGTGTTTTGCAAATGTAATAACATAACTTCTTTTGGAATGATTTATGAGCTGTATATGACCATGTATATCAGTTTTTGCACTTCTGTCACTCGTATCCTCCTAGTTTTGTAATTGTTATGCAGCCCACTGATTAGTCAGTTGTTTTTTTTTTTGGTCCAGCCAGAGATTTGTTAAAAAAAACTGAGTTGATTCCCCCATCCACAAATTTTTGGTGGATGGGGAATCCTCATTGTATCCTGCCAGAGGGGACACTTCCCCCACCATCAGAATACACAGATCAGCGCTGCAGTGTATAGCTTGCTGCTCTCATTGAGTGGGGAAAACGCAACAGGGTGCTTGTACAAAAGTTAATTGGTAGATCAACTTCTGTACAACCAAGTGTCTATACATGGTTCAAAATTTCAATCCATGTATGGCTAGCTTAACTTCACTTTTTAAAAAAAACAAACAAAAACAAACCAATTCCCTCTTGGTGATCGATGTACATTGCAAGAATTTGAACAAACTTTGTTTCAGATTCCTACCTGTTTCTCCTTTTGAAGGAATTGCTGTTCTGTATCTTTTGGAACTATTCTCTATGGGAGTGACTTTTTCATCACTGATGAGCTGATGCATTTGCAGTTTTCTAACAAGGAAAGTTGCAGTGTCTGTATCCCTTTAAAAGTATTTAGGAGTGTCTCACAAAAAATGAAGTTTTTGTTACTTTGGATGCCCAAAATCTGACTTGTGACTTCTAGGAAAATCAGTAAGCCAATCACGCAAGCAGGAAATGACATTTCTGGGGGCATTTCATACAACACTTGTGTACAGAATGCCTCCAGGTTGACTTATTGTGTTGAATTTTACAGAAAATTACAGAGCTACAGATAGAAAAGGAAAGGTAATTTTTAATATTCAATGACAATATGGCTTTTGAAGCAATTGTATCTGCTTGGATGTTGCTGTGATCACATGACCTGGAATGTCAGTGGTTGGTTAGTGACAATTCTTATGAAATTTACCACATACATTACAATCTAAATGTCTACTCTCCTTTAGATCTACCAATACGTATGTAGTGAAAGGGCTTGACTGATTGGATACAAACTGAGTGGAAAGATTAGGTAGACGCTTATATTCCATTGTTTTGGTAGATCTATCGTTGATTGTACAGAGGTTGTATGTTCAAATTGTAATGTGTATGATCAGCCTAAAATCATGTCCATGTAGTGATCCCATAAGCACAGGGCTCAGGCTTAGCCGTGGAAGCACACACAAAAAGAGACAACGGACAGTGTTTTTGTTTTTCCCCATATGGGGGGTGTTGCTGTCATTGGAGTTAATCCCTTCCCACCACCTTGTGGCGCCCATTTAAGTGGGTTTGAACGCCGGAAGGTGGTGTCCTGATCACAGTGATTGGCTCTAACAGCAGTCACATGATAGAGAGCCCATCCCGCTGGCTCCTGATCACAAACAGAGACTGAGAACTGTCAGCTCAGTCAGTGTGTTGGGAGCATGCAGGGAGCTTGCTCTCAGCACACAACCTTGGACCCCCATAGACATACCTGTGTGGCGGCTGGGCATTAGGACCCACTTTCCCTGCTGCCACATATATGGATTACAGCATCAGAGGTTACAAATAGACTAGAGGTTTTGCCCTTTTGCTGGCAAAATGGAAAAATGCCTTGTCCAGAAGTCCATATGTAATGATGGGAAACCCATCCCAGTCAAATTCCTCTCATCTTCTGCTTGTTCACCATTTGAACCCACTGTGGTGATTCAGAATGTCCAGCAGTTTTACAGAAATGAAAGTCAATGCTTTTGTGACAAACATTGCAAACCGATGTTGAAGCAAGTGCTCAGTCAGCTTTTTTTTACAGTCATAGTATGGCAACCAGTGCCAAATGTTTCAGTTTACCAGATGGGTATCTAATTTTGGAATAGAAATGTTATGGGGGCAGTTCTCTAGTGTTAGCAGGATTTGCTTTGTAACTGAAACTGTTAGCCTCCCTGGCGGTATTCCCGAGTGTAGCTCGGGGTAAAATTTCAGTACCACAAGCGGTAACCCTGAGCTACACTCGGGCTTACCATGCGGCATTGCTCAGGGAGTCCCTGCAGTGCTTACCTTGTCCTTCGCTCCTGTGATGTGTCCCCTGCAGCGTCCCCGGCCATCTCCTCCGGCCGATGCCGGCATCCAGCTTCCGTGTTCCAGTCCCTGTGACGTCGGGACGTACGGGCGCCGGAACCAGTGGCAAATTTGAAATTTTTAAAAAATGTCTTTTTTTTTAAAATGATTATTATATAGTAAAACATTGCTGTTTCAATGCATTTCACATATATTTTGTCCCTACTGCTTTGTCCTGCGCCCTGCCTACATTTTGACTGTTCTTTCTGCCTGGAAACTTAGAAAAGTCCATGGCGTCCAAAAAGCATCCCTTTATGTCAAAAGCGGTTTTAGACCGGCTAGAGAACAGCGATAGTAAATTAGAACCACTTGCAGAATTGAGTGATAATGATTCGTGGGGAAATTCGTCATCAGACATTGAAAACGATTTTGCGACTTTGCTCAGCGATGTGCGAACTTGGCGCTATATTTCAAATTTCAGTTTTTTTTTTTGGTTTGATTATATTATTGAATTCAATTTATTATTATTATATTATTATTTTTATGATTATTAATTAAATTATAATTTATGATTTCGTGTTTCAAGTTTTTATCATATCCGGAATGTTTACTAGACTCTTGTTCGGACAGATTTCAGGGAGTTATTCCTAAAAATTACAGCCTACAATAAAAAACTACATATTTCCATGCAAAAAAAATAGTAGAGCTTTCAGCACCAAAAATCGGAAATAATCATACCACCAAGGAGGTTAAGTTGCATAAGAGTCAAAATGTATTTTACTGAAAATTATGGTAAATTGATCCACCACAGTAGTAGTCCAAAACTGTTGTAGAGAAGAACAGCACCTTTTTATTTTCTAGTCATTTTGGTAAAAAACATCTTTTGATATCTGCTTTAATTTACATTAAATGGTATAACAAACATTTTTGTAATACATTTATTTGTCTATTTTTTTTACTAGGGAAAAAATCCTTTACATGTGACCAATGTGGGAAAATCTTCAGTCAAAGAAAACAGCTAAAGAGTCATTATCGAGTACACTCTGGTATGTACGATATGGGCTGTGTTCTGTTAGAGTATTATTAATTTACAGGATTTTCTGTATATAGAGCCAACAATTTGGGAGATAGTAGAGTTACAATACAATTCAATACAAAAGGGTTAGGGGACCTTGCTCTTGAGAGCCTAATAACTGCGGGGGATGTGTTTTGTGGACAAAATCAAATTTCAGATGTTAGGTAGAGGTGGAATAGGCTTCCTTAAAAAAGATGAGTTTTCAAGGATCGTCTAAAGGTGGGCAGAGTAGGAGATAGCCAGATGAATTGGGGTAAGGAGTTCCAGAGGATAGGAGATTTCCTGGAGATGGACACGGGAGGAGAAGACAAAGGTAGCCATAGAGCAGGAGGATTTGGGAGGAGCAAAGAGGACAGTTTGGGTTATATTTTGAGATTAAGCTTATGATGTAGCTTGGGGCGGAGGTGTCGATGGCTCTGTATGTAGGCTTAACCAGGAGCGCCTGTTTAATGCAAGTTGAGCCACTTTCCACAGAATACTGATTTACATTTGGTTGCCAGTATAACCCCCAGTTCCAGCTCTCTGACATTTGATGATATACTGTAGATCAGGTTAGCAAAAAATTGTTTATAAGGGCCTATCAACAAATGATGTCCCTGAGCACATACAGTTTGTTCTGTTTGCATGTGGACAAATGCAGTCAGACCAATGTAGCTAGATCTATTGAACCCCACAGGAAGTAAGCATATCTGAATTTTCATGTTTAGAACCTTTTTCACTATGCCCTTGAGGAAAAGCATAAACAATATTTATTAGCCATATTGTACTTTATGGGCTTAGATTTTTCCTGATGCTGTTGTTGACATCTGGACTTATCAAATGCTGTGCCTAGTTTAAAGGATAAGTTCACCTTTGGGAACATGTTACATGTTCCCCCCCCGTTTTTAGGGTGGAACATGTAACATGTTCCCATAGCTGCAGCCACGCCTGCCACCCCCTCCCTCTGATAGTATGGGGAAACTTCTCCCCATATTATCTATCTGTCAGATTTGAAAACAGCGCAGGGGTGGGGAGGCTCCGCCCACACGGTCACATCACTCATTCACAAATTATTGTAAGTGAGTGCCTACAAGTCCTGGAAGCTTTAGCAGCTGTCAGCTAGTAATTTTCAATGAACTACCATGGCACTGTGGTAGTTAATTGAAGATTCCTGTCCGTATATCTGCTTGACTGTACATCCATTACGGCAAGAAGATATTCTGACAGGTCTGCGGGAGACCTGCATGGCATCAGCGATCTACTGATCACAGGTGCAATGCTTTCCAGTCTCCTTCAGACAAAAATAATGCACATTTTTTTTACCTGCAAAAAAATCTGCATGTATTATTTTTGTCAAACAAGGTGAACGTATCGTTTAATGTTGGTAGATGGGGAATGACAGCTGGACTTAAATGGAAGAAGCAGAGTTTGGATACCCCCAAACCATGTGCAAGCCTTAGAGACCAAGATAGGTAAAAATATTATTTACAAACCTGATTTTTTTTTTTTTTTTTTTTCACTGTCCTTATTTACAATGATTGTTGGAAAACTGAAGTTGTGTTAGTAAGAGTGTTATAATGAAAGCACACATTATTTGCAAAGTTATTAGGCTAATATTCCCACCCTTTCACTACATGCTCAGTTTTGCAGTGCAGTGTCTGATGCAGTAATTAAGGCAATATTTACCATTTGTAGTGACAGATTCAAATAAATGAAAGTATACTCTGAGTTTGGGTTTTTTTGTTTCTGTTATGCAATCTATTGAAGGCCGCTGGTTAACAGAGTGCAATGTCTGCCAAAGAAAATTCATGGATGCTGCACAGTTAAAAAAGCATCTAAGATCTCATACCACATGTATTATTTTTGTCAAAAAAAGGTGAACTTATCATTTAATGTTGGTAGATGGGGAATGACAGCTGGACTTAAATGGAAGGAAAGGCTACACAATAACTTGGTAAATGCTTCCATTTGCTTTGATCCTCTCTGCTTACATTTTGTAATAAATTGCTTTCTGTATATAGTTTTTTACAGTTTTTCAATGCAGTCTCATTACTGTGGAGGAACCGGCAATGGTTCTCAATCTCTTGTAGCTGTGACGTCATCCCACCAGTGTTCAGAGCTCTTGTGGTTGCCAAGGTGTTGTCATCTGGGAGAAGGGATCCTGCCAACCACCCACAAAGAGAGAGGGAGAGAGAGAGGAATGAGCTGGAGCTTTGTGATTTCAGGAATCCATAGAAAACTAAAAGCAAGCATTCAGAAAGTGATTTATTAGAAAATGTAAGCAGATAGGATCAGAGCAAAGGGGAAGCATAATTTGTGGGTAACTGGGTAGCATTTTCTACTACATTCACCTTTCCCTCTACTTCAGTGGTACGAAGCAGAGTTTGGATACCCCCAAACCATGTGCAAGCCTAAGGGACCAAGATAGGTAAAAATATTATTTACAAACCTGATTTTTTTTTTTTTTTTCACTGTCCTTATTTACAATGATTGTTGGAAAACTGAAGTTGTTTTAGTAAGGGTGTTATAATAAAAGCACACATTATTTGCAAAGTTATTAGGCTAATATTCTCCCCCTTTCACTACATGCTCAGTTTTACAGTAGTGTCTGATGCAGTAATTAAAGTCATATTTACCATTTGTAGTGACAGATTCAAATAAATGAAAGTGTACTCTGAGTTTGTGTTTTTTCTTTCTGTTATGCAATCTATTGAAGGCCGCGGGTTACCAGAGTGCAATGTCTGCCAAAGAAAATTCATGGATGCTGCACAGTTAAAAAAGCATCTAAGATCTCATACAGGTACTGTTATATTCCTATTTAAATACTGTATAAATACCACATGATGATTCATTGTGGGATAACTTGACAATGTACAAAAGTACCTAACAGATAATAAATAAAAGTCTAACATTTAATCAATGTCAAGAACTCATCTGTCAGTATATAGCGAGCGATGAGGTCCTAACCACCCCTCCATTTAATTGAATGTAATTGTGCTTCAGCATCTGGGCCTACCCCTGGCTATTGACATTCATTCTGATAACCAGTCAGCCTCGCATCATCAATGATGGTGCCTATGGAAAGCTGTTATGCCCTTCCAATATCTTCTTAAAGGATAAGTTTGCCTTTGTAAAAAAAAAAAAAATAAGTGCACATCTTTTATTGCTGGTAAAAAAATGTGCATTTATTATTTTTTTTTACTAGGAGCCTATAAAGCAGTGCACTTGCGACCAGCAGATGCAGTCAGCAGGTTGCAATGCAGGTCTTTCCGTGTCAGCATTTACCTGTAGAGCGATGTCAACCGACAGCGGACTTCAGCTGACCGAGCTGCACTCCTGTGATCCACAGAAGTACATCCAAAAGAGCTTTGGCTGTACTTCTCCTTTAAAGTGATTGTAAAGATACAAATTAAAAAAACAAAAAACAAACATGACATACTTACCTGCTCTGTACAATGGTTTTGCAGGTACTCTGCCTGCACTCCTGGTCCCTCCCCCCTGCCATGTGCCTCCATAGCAATCGGCTTGCTCTGGGGGCACTCATGCGTGCTTGATCTAAGTCTTGTCTGCAGGGTGATAATGCTACTGTGCAATTTCAATGCAAAGCAAGATGTGTGTTTTTTTTTTTTTTTTTTTTTTTTAACAGGGTAACAGTGGGGTTACTGGATCACTGGGTAAAACAAGGGGAGGACTCCAAAAAACAAAAACTTGTGTGTTAATACTAGCAATAGACTATATTATATTTGTCATTTTTTATTTCCCCTAGTTCCATTTAAAGTCAATTCCCCAAAACGCCTCCACATACCTTTCCTTTTTATTAATGCTATGTTTTGTAAGAAAACCGTTTTCTTTCCAATGTAAACCTCCATTTTTATCATATTGTCTCTTAGCATTCTGTTATACGTGCATGATACTTCCACTTAAGAAGTGTCTGATGAATCTGTTCAGTGCAGGCATGGAATGATCTGTCAGAAACTTATCAAAGATGCATTGCAAAGTGCCTGTGTACACAAATCATACAGAACAGGCTGATTTATGTATTTGAATTAAATAATCTTTGTTTCTTCTTTAGGTGAGAGGCCGTACACATGTGAGATCTGTGGAAAATCTTTCACTGCTAAAACCTCCTTGCAGACACATATTCGAATACACAGGTATAGTGGCTTATATTTTAATCTGTTTGGATCGCATAAACTTTCTTTACAAATCACAAGCAAAATTCAAAATGTATTTACCGTATATACTCGAGTATAAGCCGACCCGAATATAAGCCGAGGTACCTAATTTTACCACAAAAAACTGGGAAAAACTATTGACTCGAGTATAAGCCGAGGGGGAAGGAATAGTGCCCCATCGTTGGTGTCAGTGGGGGGAGGAATAGTGCCCCATCGTTGGTGTCAGTGGGGGGAGGAATAGTGCCCCATTGTTGGTGTCAGTGGGGGGGAGGAATAGTGCCCCATCGTTGGTGTCAGTGGGGGGAGGAATAGTGCTCCATCGTTGGTGTCAGTGGAGGGAGGAATAGTGCCCCATCGTTGGTGTCAGTGGGGGGAGGAATAGTGCCCCATCGTTGGTATTAGTGACACCAATGATTGGGCACTATTCCTCCCACTGACACCAATGATACTTACCTTGCTGACCCCTGCTCTAGCCTGGGCTCGCTCGCTCCCTCCCTCTCCCATGGTGCACACTTACCGGTCAGATGTCTTCCTTCTCCGGCCGCTCTCCATCTCTTCACTCGCTCGATCTTCGCGGTGCCGCTCGGCTCCTCCTCTCCAAGCTCCACCTCCTCGCCGGTGATTGGGCGCCTGTGTGCCTCTCCTGAGCTACAGTTCCGGCGGCCAATCACCGGCGAGGATTAATCCCGGGGGTGTGTCCAGATGACAGGGACGGCATGTCATCTGCAGACGTTGACTCGAGTATAAGCCGAGGGGGCCATTTTTCAGCACAAAAAATGTGCTGAAAAACTCGGCTTATACTCGAGTATATACGGTACTGCTGAAATTGAATTAAAAAAAAAAAAAAAGAGTCAAGTACTTTTGTTTCGAGCAGAGCATAACAAATGCAATCTATTTGTTTAAAGAATAAGTTCACCTTTTGACCAAAAATAATAAATGCACATTTTTGTTTACCATTGCAGGTATAAAATTGTGCATTTATTATTTTTGGCTGCAGGAGCCTGTAAAGCATTGCAGATCGCTGGTGCCGTGCAGGTCTCCTGCAGACCTGTCAGTATATCTGCTTGGCTATACGGGATGTATGAGCAAGCTGATATACTGACAAGAAGAATCAATTAACTACCACAGCGTTCCACAGCGCCATGGTAGTTCATTGAAAACTATAAGCCGACAGGCGCTAAGACTGTTGTGACTTGTAGTTCATTCATTCACAGAACACTCTGAATGAATGGTACGGCCATGTGGGCGGAGCCCTGCACGGCTGCATTGTTTTTATAAGAAGTGACAGCTAGTATGCAAAACTTCTCCCTGTACTTCTGTCACAGGAAGGGGGGAAATCGGGCAGCGGCTGCAGCATTGGGAACATGTTACGTGTTCCACCCTAAAAATGGGTGCAATATGTAGCATGTTCCCAAAGGTAAATTTTTTTTTTTTTTTTTTTCCCCTAGCTTAGATCTAGTACAATGGCTTTCTTCACTATTCTAAACAGTTCAATGAAGGAATAGTAAAAAGAGAGTGCATTAGTTCTAAATGGGCAAAACCATCAATAAACATTCTTTTTCCTTACAAAAGAAACATTTCTGACAAAGATTTTATTTGAAGTGAGATTCATCCTTTCTTTTTTGCACGCACATGTAAGAATGTAGTGTATGTAAACCCAATGACCAGAAATTAATATATTGCAGCTTACCAGTTTTTAGAAATGGTGACTATTTTAGTTTTCTTTTTCATCTGTATTTTACTTCTGCCAGTGACACAATTCCAGGCCCAGAATGACAACACTCAGATACTCAGTCTGTATCAGGACAGCAAAAACAAGTAAAGATTATAGGACCTTACCCTCCAAAAAAAGAGCTTTTTCATTGATCTCATACACTGAGACATATTTTCCATCATTCTTAAACTCTGTTTATGCCATATGGCCAAAAATATGCAAACCCCCCTCTCCACATTATTAGAAGAGAATTCCAGCTTCCGGGCACTTTGAATAATTTGTTTATGCTAACTTAGACCAAACATATTACTTGCATATCAGAATGGATGGGCTGTTGCTTAGGCAGGAATAGATTATGGCAGCTTGTGCTAGGCTTCTCCTAAATGGTGGTGCAGTTTGGGCTACTCTCTCTAGATCTGGTAGAATTAGAGGAAATGGCTAGTACTGCTGCTGGAACACGGCTCTGCTTACTGTACAAGGAAGAAGCTACTACATTCTATCACAGCCTAAGCTGAAGCCAAGCTGGCACAAACAAATTTTTTTAAGTGCCAGGAAGCCTGGAATTCTCTTTTAGATGCACAAAGTCAGGTCCATAAAGACAAGGTTTGGTGTGGCCTGCATAGAGGCCTGACCTTACATCTATTAACCATCTATGGCATAAACTGAATTGTGAGCCAAGTCTTCTCGCCCAACACCAGTATTTAAACTCACAAATGCTGTTTTGGCTGAATAGAACATTTTTTCTACAGACACACTTCAAAGTTGGAAAGCTTTCCTGGAGAAGTGGAGGATGTTATAGCCACAAAGGGAGTGGGGTAGCAGTTACAAATTAATGCCCATGGCATTGGCTTGAGACCAGCTCATAAAAATGTGGTGGTCAGGTGTCCACAACTTTTAGCTGTTTGATAGAGTATATACTTAGGATATGCAGTTTGAGTTGGTTATTTTGGTTCCATAGTTAGTAAAGTTAGGAAGATCCACCATGTTAAGCTGTTACCACCCAGTTTTATTAAAGCAGTATTGCACATATATTTCACTGGCTTTTCATGAAAGCAGCAGACAGTATATTATTAAAGCTTGGCATGACTGAACTCTTAAAAGGCCTCCCTATTAGGCCAGTGTCCTTAATCCCAACCCCACTTTGTACACACTCCAGCAATCTCTTAGGTCAGTTGACATAATTACTATGGGAAGAATGTAGCATTTTAGGTTGAGAATGAGCATTGGTGGCATTCACCAGGCTGAATGAAGACAAAATTGTTTTCTTAACGTAAACCTGTCATTGGAGAATTTGGTGGGCTGACCTGATTCTAAAAAATTCTGAACAAAATTATACAGATTAGAAAAGTGAGAAAAATATCCTCATCTCTATACTTGTTCCAGGTCACTGACTCAAAGTTTGGAAAGAGAGCAGGCTGAGTTCCCAGCATAGCTAGAGAACTGACCATTGCATGTTCTCCTGCTAAGGTGTCCTTTTATGAAACAGAGATCAGCGGTGATCCCGAGGATCGTTGCTGATCTGCGATCATTAGTGGTTTAGGAAACAGAGATGATCAGTGGAGAACATGTTCTCCGCTGATCACCTCAGCACACAGATTGCCAGTGTATGAAGGAGCGATGTCAGCCCTTCACTGGCGACCTGTGTTCTCCTTCCAGATTCTTCAGCCCAGAGATGGAGAATCGGAGGAACCATAAACGAAGCAGCAATAATTTACCACTGTTTAGTAAACGGTGTTTGACTGATCTCTTACTGTAATCTCGCGAGATTATAGTAAAAGCAGCCGTTTTCCAGCGTTCAAAGCGTTTGCAGATCGCTTCTCCCTTCATTTGGAGAAGTGATCTACTCCGCTTCATAAAAAGGCATTCAGAGGAGAACTATCTTCTCTGAGAATGCTGGAGAACTGAGCAGCAGTCATTTACCACTGCTTGATAAAAGGACACCATAGTGTGGTCAGTTCTTAATATGAAAGCAGAGGGACTGGCAGGAACACCAGGTATTTCACACAAAGGAAGCAATACAAAGAGAACAGGATGCTTATCAATTTTACAGTTTCCAAAAGCAGTTACATGCAAGTCGGGAATGCTAACTGTCACATCTGCTTGTGCTCTCAACCAAACTGTCAAACCATCAAATGGCTGGAGTCATAACTGATTATCTATGCAGTATCATGGCAGTTGATCATACAAAGGCCAAAATAGCTTCCTTAGCTGAAAACAATAGGAGGGTTTAGTTCTGTTTTAGGAATAGAAAGGGCAGTGGCAACTACTTAATGAAATAATATGTAAAGCCAATATTTCATATTCCTGATATGTGCCTGTTGTACTGTGTACTTGAATGAAAAAGTATCCTGTTCATTGTATTGCTTCCTTTTGTGTGAAATCACTGGTGATCCTGCCAGTCCCACTGTTTTCCTATTAAAAACTGACCACACTATGGTCAGATCTCCAGCTGCGCTGGAAACTCAGCCTGCACTCCACCACTGATCTGATACCCCTGCCCCCCCTTCCCCCAGCACAGCCTTTCACTGTGTTGCTATGCTTCAGTGTACTGCTGTTTCTCTCCCACACCTCTCTGTTATCAACTGCATAAAGAGCTTAGATGCTATGTGATCACTTATTTATGGGGGGAAAAGGTATTTATAATGTTTTTATGTGTACGCACAAATGTTTAGCCTTTCAGTTCTATTTAAACTGAATGGGTTGTTTTACAAGGTGAGGGTTTACAATCACTTTAACTAATGGTAAAGAGTGTTCTCCCCAGTGAATGCAGCCAGTAAGTATACTATCCCAAGTGTTAGTTCTGCTCAGAAACCAAAAGACTATTCTGGCAATTTGGGAAGCGCCGGCTTTTGTTTTAGTTTTTGAATAGCGGTCAACCTATCAAGGTTTCCTTGAAGTGTCCAGCTGTGGAGAATTTAGGTGAGATTGGCACTTGTGGGCTGTGGTTCAGCCAGATTTCAAATCTCTGTATTATAAGTTCTATAAGTACTTATAAGTGGAAACCTAAGTGGGGTAGAATATTAATTTGACTGTTGATCTTTATCAGCCCTAATTTCAGTAGCTTATTTTATTATATTACACATATTTTTCATTGTATCATTTCAGGGGGGAAAAGCCTCACTGTTGCAACATTTGTGGAAAAGCATTTACAGACGCCAGTGCCAGGAGAAGACACAGCGTTTTGCACACAGGAAAAAAGCCATTCTCTTGTCCACAGTGTGATTTGCAGTTTTCCCGCATGGACAATCTGAAGACACACATTAAAACTCACAATAAAGTAAAGCAGACACAGGACACTACAAGCACTGGAAGTACTGATGAAACAAGGACCATCCTTCAGCTGCAGCAATACCAGCTAGCAGCTTCTAATGGCCAGGAAATCCAATTATTGGTGACAGATAGTGTCCACAACCTGAACTTCATGTCAAGTCATGGCCCAGGTCTAAGTATTGTGACTACAGATGAACCTCATAGTATTACAGATCAAACTAACCTTGCCCTGATAACACATCAGCCGCCACCATTGCATGGTTTGTCAGTCTCCCAGCAGCAGCAACAAGTGCAATCTATCCAGAACATCGAGTTGATGGAGAGCAGGGTACAAACTGTGCTGCAGGAACCAATGCATGTCATCACTCTGTCAAAGGAAACACTGGACCAACTGCAAGGACGAACACATGAAATTCACTTGACACAAACAGACCGGCAAACCGCGCTAACTCATGTGCAAGCACATCCATCTCAGAGTATTTTGAGCCAAAATGTCAGAGTCTCTGACCACCTTCAACAAACTATAAATGTAAACCCTGTTCCACAACCTGTGCCAGGTCCCCAGATCCCTACACAAACGTTTCAGATACAAGCTGATGCTGTCTCTTTTATAAACACAACCCTGGACACTACAAATTCAACACCTGTATGATAAAAATGGTTTATATTGTTTTTTTTGTTTTGAAGTTTAAATGTTTCGCTTTTATTCCTATGAAAGGAAGTGAATGATAAAACAAGACTGAATTTATACATTTTATTTGTCTTGTTTGAATTTGGATACTGTCCACAATTGTATCGTGTGGAGTTCTGCAGATGCAAAGGTGTTATTTTCTGTGTCGAGGTGTCCCACAGGTTTATCATTTGGGTATTCTTCATTCTATCTGCCTTTCCTTTTACTAAGTAGACACCTGGCACCACTTCAATGTGCACAAGATGGTAAATTGCAGTACTACAGAGGATTTAGAAGTTAAGTGATAACATGCCTATGAAATGTTGGGAAAACTTCAGTGGAAGTCATGGGCCAATGTATAGGCTGGGCTCAATATTTAGAAGGCTCCACAAAGTCACAGAGGTTGATGTAAAGACTAAAACTGGCTATACAAAAAAACAAATAGTTTGTTTGCATATATCCTGGGGCTGATTAATGAAAATATAACAGATTCCTCCATCCATGCTCTACAGTGGGGATGGACAAATCTCTTTGAGGCAATTGTAGCAGTGGGTCACACACTGTTTGAATTTCGGCTGGGTCTTGAGAAGTCAGCCAAATTTCTATCAGTGTTTGGCCCCTCAACACTGCGCCTCAGTACTGTTTTTACCTTTTAGAAAGATTTTAGGTCAGAAATCCTGTACTGCAAGGAATTTAAAAGTTGACATTTCTGACTTTTGAGAATGCTAGTTGTCCCTGGCTTCACTACAGTCAGAGTTACTGAACTGGGTAAAACATGAAGCTAGTGAAGTTGGAATAAAGCCATTTACAAAAGGAGAATTTAGCAATGACAACATACAAACCTTTTTAGTACAGGTTTTCGTAAGCAATTCATATTATGGAGCTTTTTTTTTTCTTGGTGCCACACTTTCTGACTTGTGCATTGGATGATGTACATACTGTAACAATTTAGGAGAATTCATAGTTCACCGATGTGACTTCAGTCAAATTAAATGCTGAATGGCTTCTATAGGTGACTGTACTTCATAAATCTTTACTAGTGGTTTTCACTGCATATGCATGTGTCTGTCGCTGTATGTGGTGGTTATCAGCTTCAGTTCTATGCACCCCTATTCAAATCCTATACATGCATCAGCATGCAGACTGGTCCTGTTGTACAGAATTATGGTACGGCAATGACGGGTACTACCATCATTCAGTGTTGTCTTTTCCTTTGTCACAAAATTACACAAGGGAGCTGAAGAAAAGAATTCATTCTGGGGGCTCAGTTATTCTTCTGGTCTTATGTTCTTCTACACCATTCATATACTACTTGTTTCTACCATGTGCATTATACCTCAAAGCTCACAGGTCCTGACTCTCACATGGGTTGTAGAACCTGCCCAATAAATGATATGCTTGTGAATCTGACACAGGCTAATACACTGCTCAAAAAATGAAAGGAACACTTTTTAATCAGAGTATAGCATCAAGTCAGTTAAACTCCTGGGATATTGATTTGGTCAGTTAACCAAGGTGGTCCGTCCGGCCGTTGTATATAAACAGCCGGACGATGGCAGTGCAAGGTCGGGTGGCCGTTTATAAACGGCCACCCCGCACCCTGCTTGTGCGCACTCCCTGGGAGCGCGCAGTACCGCAATCCGGTGGACACAGTGGAACACCGATCGTCGGACGGGACCTCTGTACGAGGTCCCGATCATGTGATCACTGATTGGCCAATCAGTGATCACATGCAGAGTAGTAAGCAAGATGTTACTTGTGACATCATTGCTTACTACGTGTGAAATCTGTGAATGATCACAGAGGTCACATGGTACAAGGCTATTTACAACAGCCTTGTACCATGTGACAAGCTGTGACCAATCACAGCTCACTCAGTAGTTCTCAATGGCTGCAAGAATGCAGCTAGAGAGAAGGAGAAATGATTGCTTTTACATCCTTCATGGGTGTAAAAGCAATCAGTGTAATAAAAAAAAAAATAATCACCCCCCACAAGTAGTACAGTGTCACCATAGTGACACTGTACTGCTAGGGTGACGATATGTAAAAAATAATAAAAAAAAATTTAAAAATTATAATTTTTGGTTATAAACTAATTTGGGTTATTTTTTTTTACTAAAAATATAACGAAATAAATTTTGCCCAAGATTTATGATGAAATACTATTTATTTGTAAAATTTTATAAGAAAAACACTTTTTTTCAAAATGTTTGGACTTTTTAATTTACATAGCAAAAAAAATAAAAATCCCAGTGGTGAATAAATACCACCAAAATAAAGCTTTATCTGTCTCAAAAAAATGCTAAAAAATTCATATGGGTACAGTGTTACATGACCGCGCAATTGTCATTCAAAGTGTGATATCACTGAAAGCTGAAAATTGGCCTGGACAGGAAGGGGGGGAAAGTGTCCGGACTTGAAGTGGTTAAGTAGCAGAAGGGGTTGTTAATCAGTTTCAGCTGCTTTGGCGTTAATGAAATTAACTACAGGTGCACTAGATGGGCAACAATGAGACGACTCCCAAAATAGGAATGGTTTTACAGGGGGAGGCCACTGACACTTTTTCCCTACTCATCTTTTCTGACTGTTTTTCACTAGTTTGCATTTGGCTAGGGTCAGTGTCACTACTGTTAGCATGAGGTGATACCTGGACCCTCCAGAGTTTGCACAGGCAGTCCATTGTCAAGAGCATGGAGGAGATTCCAGGAGACAGGCAATTACTCTAGGAGAGCTGAACAGGGCCATAGAAGGTCCTTAACCCAACAGCAGGACCGTTATCTGTTCCTTTGTGCAAGGAGGAACAGGATGAGCACTGCCAGAGCCCTACAAAATGACCTCCAGTGTGAATGTCTCTGAGCAAACAATCAGAAACAGACTACATAAGTGTGGCCTGAGGGCTCGATGTCCTCTAGTGGGCCCTGTGCTCATTGCCCGGCACCATAGAGCTCTATTAGCATTTGCCATTGATCACCAGAATTGGCAGGCCCGCCACTGGCGCACTGTGCTCTTCACAGATGAGAAAAGGTTCACCCTGAGCACGTGACAGACGTGAAAGGGTCTGGAGAAGCCATGGAGACTGTTATGCTGCCTGTAACATTGTTCAGCATGACCGTTTTGGTTGTGGGTCAGTGGTGGTCTGGGAAGGCATATCCATGGAGGGACGCACAGACATCTACAGGCTAGACAATGGCATTAGGTATATGGATGAAATCCTTGGACCCATTGTCAGACCCTACGCTGGTGCAGTGGGTCCTGGGTTCCTCCTGGTGTACGACAATGCCCGGCCTCATGTGGCGAGAGTATGCAGGCAGTTCCTGGAGGATGAAGGAATTGATAGTACTGAATGGCCCCCATGCTCGCCTGATCTAAATCCAATAGAACACCTCTGGGATATCATGTTTCAGTCCATCCAACGGCACCAGGTTACACCTCAGACTGTCCAGGAGCTCAGTGATGCCCTGGTCCAGATCTGGGAGGAAATACCCCAGGACACCATCCGTCATCTCATTAGGAGCATGCCCTGACATTGTCAGGCATGTATACAAGCACGTGGGGGCCATACAAACTACTGAGTACCATTTTGAGTTGCTGCAATGAAATTGCAGCAAAATGGACTAGCCTGCTGCATCATTTTTTCACTTTGATTTTCGGGGTGTCTTTGAATTCAGTCCTCTGTATGTTGATCATTTTAATTTCATTAGGGTGGCTTTGGTTTCACTTCTCTTGAATAGTAACAGGGTTGCTTTATTAGTAATTTAACAATCTGTTCCAATTTTATAGACTTTTTTTTATAAGAAAAAAAAAAAAGACACCCAACTTTTCCAAAACAGTATAATCTGCAGATGAAATACACCTGCAATCTGAGTGCAAGTATAATGAAAAGGTTGAGCATATGTAACCAGCCTTAAAGTCCTATTAAACTATCAGTTTAAATCCGTTAAATACTTTCTAGGTGTATCAGAACAAAAATATCTTCAAAGCCTTACAACTTCCTTTAAAGAGCAGCCACAGTAGAAAAGCCTGTTTCCTTCCAGCTTGCTGCAGATTGGGACCCTTAAGCTGGCCATAAATCGATAGAAATTCATCCAGTCCAGCAAGGACTGTTTTTTATAGAAGTTGATCTACCAATCGACTTCTGTACATCTGCTCTGTGGTATTTACCCCGCTCGATCAGTGCCATAGGCTATAACCTGATCAGAGTATTGTACCCCCGCTGCCAGTATAATAGGTCAGGAGGTAGGGAACTGCCTTGAATGCGAGGATAGGGAAATCAGGTCTGTTTTTTCTTTCAACGCATTGGTTGTATGGGCTACCTTACTCTTTTTGTGGAAACAGTGACCGCTTTGAAGAGGTTGCTCTTTGAAGGTTGCATGAATGCGAGCATTCCAATCAGCAGGAAGCTTAGCACTATAGTTTTGACTCAGTAATGAGTATATTGGACTGCTTTGACAAGATCAAAATTATTGTTCCTATAACCAGAACCATAAGAAATTTACACTCACCGGCCACTTTCTTATATACACCTTGCTAGTACCGGATTGGACCCGTTTTCCTTTAGATCTGCCTTAATTCTTTGTGGCACAGATTCAAGATGTTGGAAACATTCTTCAAAGATTTTGTTCCATATTGACATGACAACATCACACAGTTGCTGCAGATTGTCAGCTGCATATCCATGAAATGTTGATACATAGCAGGATGGATCCATGCTTTCATGTTGTTGTCACCAAATTCTTACCCTACCATCTGAATGTCGCAGCTGAAATCGAGCCTCATCAGACCAGGCAAAGTTTTTCCAATCTTCTATTGTCCAATTTTGGTGAGCCTGTGTGACTTGTAGCCTCCGTTTCCTGTTCTTAGCTGACAGGAGTGGCACCCAGTGTGGTCTTCTGCTGGTGTAGTCCATCTGCTTCAAGTTTGACGTGTTGTGCATTTAGAGATGGTATTCTGCATACCATGATTATCTGAGTTACTGTTGCCGT